TTGATTTTTCTTGTGTTCGAACAAGTGTTTTCTTTTATGGAAACAGCGTGTGTAGAAACTGTCCAAATACCCAGTAATTCCGAGCGCTTTCGGCTATATTTTGAGCCATTACCAATGATGCTTTTATTTTTGCTTTTTAATTGGGTGTATGGGTTTTGTGCATGTTTCTAGAGCTATAAGGATGTTTTATTTTCGGAACACTGTTAGCACATTGTGGCCGTGTTCGTAGATAATATTATTGCGTGTTGGCTTTTTCTTTTTTATTTTTAAGGCTTCCATTATTTTTAATCTTTTTTACATATAGATGAGGTTATCATGTTTGTATTTTCTACTAGTATGTTTCGTATGGAGTCTGGTAAGTTTGTGTGCGTGTTTAAATGAGTTCTAATGGATCTGTGAGCGGATAGGTGTATTATCTATCTGATTCTTTTCATATCTCTCCATCTATCTATCTAATTCTCTTCATATCTATCTATAAAAAATTTCAATGAATGTGTTTTTTTTTTAAGTATTGTCTTTCATAAATTTGAAATATTTAATAATATGACTTGTTGCATTTTTTTCTCCCTAAATATGGCCATAAACCTGCTGATTAAATTTAAAATAAGCACTAAAATTCTCAGATCGAATGCAAGAGGACAATTCAATTCATTTTGACCCCGAACTGATAAATCGAAATTAGCTTTCGACAGAGTCGATAAAATATGCGCCTCTTTCGATAAGTGATCTTCGGGCGACATTTTCATGCTTTATCAATTGAAACTTGTAGAGTTATCCCCCTTGCCCTGTTTGGAAATACGGGTGCAGTTGAGGTAATTTTCGTGTGCCCAGTCTGTCTTTCATGCGAGGAAGGAATTGCAAAAGTTAATTTCAGCCTGCATCCCAGACGCCTTTTCTCTAGAGAGCAGTTTGACGTTACAAAAAGGTGAGGATAAGTGTTGGAGTCTGGGCTGAAGACAAACAGAAGCTTGTCATTTTAGAGCAAAAACGTACGTGAAAATATATCTTGTTTTCGTAATTTGACATAAAAAAAAACAAAAAAAAAAAAAACTCTAGCTACGCATGCATTTGCGTGTGCTGGAATTAGAAAAAAAACGTGTCCACACAATTTAAACGGTATCTAAAAAAAAAAAACAGCATTCAGGCAGAATCAATAATTTAAATTAACTGTACACAAGAATTTTATGCAAAAAAAAAAAAAATCTGACACGTCTGTTTAACATAAAGGGTGTTGTAAAAGTCGCGCAACAATTGGCTGAAAACCAGGGAAATTTTGCATGACATCATCTTTCATAATTCGACCAATAAAATTTCTTAATAATATGTCGTCATATACAAAAACATGATTCCATTTGGTAAATAAATATAAAATTTACAATGTCATCAATGGTAATGCGACTTTTGGAACACCCTATATATATATATATATATATATATATATATATATATATATATATATATATATATATATAAGCATATATTGTTAAATATAACAGACAATGAATGTCTATTGTGTTTGGTCATGAGTCGTTCTAAACTTCGTATATTTGCTTCAATTTCGGGTGAAAATAAAAACAAAAAATTGTCCAACTTTTGGATATTTTTTTATTAAGCTAGTCCTTGATCTAAGCTTTCGACTCACATGACCCATCTTCAGTCATTTAAACAAAGATATTCACCATCAAAGATGATATTCTGTTATGCTGACATAGGAGTTTGCTATGCGATGATAACGATCGCGGAATAGCAGACGTAGTCGCAAATACGTGATACGGTTCTATGACTTCATACCGAGCGAGAGAACAAAATATTAACAACAGAAGCATATGTCTAGATGCAATGTAATGTGTTGTGACTAGTTTAAAATGTAATTTTGTTAAGTGTGGGTTGCTTTGTTTTAATGTAGATGGCCTCCAATATCTGAAGGTTCTTTTTATTGTGTGTATGTGTGAGTATTGTTGTTTTATCAACTAATATCTGTCTAATATTAAGTACGTAGCTATGTTTTTCTAAGAAATGTGTTTAATAGAACTAAGATCAGAAAGGTGACAGGTAAGTCTACGGGAATGCGTAGTTGTGGTAAAACCAATATATGTAGTGGGTTTATTATTAGTATCAGAGACACAATCTCTGAACAGGCATGTAAATTGATACACTATATAGTTTGTTTTTTTTTTTTGTTTTGTAAAGGATTTAGTTGTGTGGTTGTAGGGTTATCAGAGAATATGAAGTCAATTTTTAAATTTTTTTTTATAATATATGATGAGCTTAAATTGTTCATTATTATTAATGGGTTTAATATTTATACCTATTATTATTTTCACCCGAAATTAAAGCAACCATACGAAGTTTAGAACAGCTTAAGATCAAACATAATAGACGTTCATTGCCTGTTATATTAACAATATAATATATATATAATATATGTTTAAATAATGATCTGCTGACCTAATACACTATATATTTCCAAAATTCACTTGAAGATGAAACAGAACTAATAATTCTAATTTAATTATATAATTAAATTTGAAGTTTTTAGCTTCGGTTTTTGAAACATGGTAATTTCTGTGTAGCGAAGAAACCATATTTTAAATCAGTTAATTTTTAATACAGTGTAACCCGGATATAAGAGAGTTGTCGGGACCGGAGAAGAAGTCTCTTATATCGGGGTTTGGTCTATTTTGTTTAGGTAAGTATGGGAACACTTTGGGACCAGAGAAAATCTCTCTTATATCCGGGTTTCTCTTATATCCGGGTCTCTTATATCCGGATTACACTGTATTTATGCTCTGTAAATTTACATTGGGCAGTGTTTTATAAAAATAAAAATATTAATAAGAACACCGGATTATATATCTTACTGTTTTTTTTTTATTATAATATATATATATATATTACAGTGAGGTTCCCCTGTACAAGGCCGGGGAGTCACTCGAGGTAAAGAATTACATAGTAAGAGGCACAGTTTATTCTTATATGTGGGGAAGATAACAGTTAACCCTAGACTTGAACAGAAGAGATCGGGAAAACATCCTCTTGGGAGTCGGTTTTTTTATTGTTCACTATCCTTAATAATGTTTCTTTTCGTATTCTTTCACACTCATCTCTTCCTTGTGTCGTAATGGCTTTATTACCTTGCTTGGGGTGAAATGAATTTATATAGCACACTGAACCTCCTCGTAAAATTTGCTGGAAAGTGTAGCTAAGCCCAGAATGCCCATCGGAGATGGCAACAGCGTCTTCATAAACTAGGGTTGCGTTTTCATATTACATCACTGGCCATCATGTCGTCGCTGGTCGAGTTTAAGACTTGTCGATAAAGATAAAGACTTTGAAAATAATAGTGTTGCCAACGCCCTAAACTATAACATTGCGAGACGGGTGCACGTGGTTTTCCAACGAGGGGTGAGTGGTAAGTGGACCCTGTGGAGAGGTTCCCAACTATGAGGTCTGCCGGCACCCTTAGGGACAGGTTGCTAACCAGGGCCCCACGGATTCTCAAGGATTAATTAAATCAGTTTGGTATCTTCGAGCGATGAGAACTGTGAAAATGAGAGAGAGGAGGAGAAAGGGGGAAGAGGAGGAGAAAGGGGAAAGAGGAGGAGAAAGGAGAGAGATAGGATAGGGAGAGAGAGAGATGTGGAGAGAAGCGAAAGAGAGAAAGAAGAGAGCGAGAGGGGGGAGAGGGGATAGAGAGGAGGAGAAGGGTGAGATAGGGTTAGAAAAGAGGTGTAGAAAAGGGGAGAGAGCGGAGAAGAGAGAGCGAGCGAGGAAGGGAGAGATTGAGAGAGGGTGAGGGATAGAAAGGAGGAGAAGGGTGAGATAGGGTTAGAAAGAGGTGTAGAAAAGGAGAGAGAGGAGAGAGAGAAGAGAGCGAGGAAGGAAGAGATTGAGAGAGGGTGAGGGATAGAAAGGAGGAGAAGGGGGAGATAGGGTTAGAAAGAGGTGTAGAAAAGGGAGAGAGGGAGAGGAGAGAGAGAGAGCGAGGAAGGGAGAGATTGAGAGAGGGTGAGGGATAGAAAGGAGGAGAAGGGTGAGATAGGGTTAGAAAGAGGTGTAGAAAAGGAGAGAGAGTGGAGAGGAGAGAGCGAGCGAGGAAGGGAGAGATTGAGAGAGGGTGAGGGATAGAAAGGAGGAGAAGGGTGAGATAGGGTTAGAAAGAGGTGTAGAAAAGGTGGAGAGAGTGGAGAGAAGAGAAGAGAGCGAGCGAGGAAGGGAGAGATTGAGAGAGGGGGAGAGGGGATAGAGAGGAGGAGAAGGGTGAGATTGGGTTAGAAAAGAGGTGTAGAAAAGGGGAGAGAGTGAAGAGGAGAGAGCGAGCGAGGAAGGGAGAGATTGAGAGTGAGAGTGGAGGACAGACAAGATTTCGCGTGTAATCCAGTCGTTTGTTTTTATTAAGTTCATTTCTTTTTTTTTTTAAATTCAAAAATAAAAATAAAAATTATTCGTAATTTTTATTTATTTATTTATTTTAAAGAATCATCGATTTCCAAAATGTGGGACAAAAACGTGTCCGGCATTTAATTAATGCAGTCCACGTCCCTCAGCGTCAAAACGATGAAAAGTCCGCCATTTTGCAGAACGGTTGGCAAAGATACAAAATAAATGAATTCCACACGTAGAGGACTTTTCTACCTCAGCGAATTCTATATCTTCGTTACTAAAAATCGAATATTTATTATACAATTGATATTTGTCGGTTGTCCTCTGCTGGGGCCTTCAGCCGTAGAAGGCTCAACAAGCTAAACTTACGAGTAGTCTTAAGATCGATCCTCGATAGGTACCCCAAATGGCGTGACCTTGTGCCTTACTTATCTTAACTTTGTAATTATCGGCTTTCATTTATTTCTCCGATTATATTTCGATTAAGCATTTCGTCGGGTGGGGAGTGAAAAACGCGGACATGTCTCTTTCTAATTAGTCACCAACCTATATTTGTGCGTGACATATGGCATATATAAATATATCTGACTTCTCCCCACCAAAGCCATCCTCGCCAGATGTCCGACATGCAGCCTGATCGTTCATTAAGTTCTGTAAATATACAAAAACTTACGCGAAAAAATTATTTACATAGGCAGGCACACAGAATATCACACACACACACACACACACACACACACACACACACACACACACACACACACACGCACTCTCTCTCTCTCTCTCTCTCTCTCTCTCTTTCTCTCTCTCACACACACACAAATACAGATTATTCTGATAAAAAACAGGGATAGCAATTTAAATGATGTGCACTCAGTAAAAATAACGTTTGTCGTAACAAGGAATAATGTCGGATTAAAAATCCTTTCCAAAATTATTATTATTACTTTCTTAGTAACTATCTAACTGTCCATCTCCGGCTATTCATATCTATCTATCTATCTACCTCAGTCTGTTCATATCTATCTATCTATCTATCTATCTACCTCAGTCTGTTCATATCTATCTATCTATCTATCTATCTACCTCAGTCTGTTCATATCTATCTATCTATCTATCTATCTATCTATCTATCTATCTATCAGTCTGTTCTATCTCATCTATTCATCTATCTATCTATCTATCTATTCATCTATCTATCTATCTACCTCAGTCTGTTCATATCTATCTATCTATCTATCTATCTCAGTCTGTTCATATCTATCTATCTACCTCAGTCTGTTCATATCTATCTATCTATCTATCTATCTATCTATCTCAGTCTGTTCATATCTATCTATCTATGTATCTACCTCAGTCTGTTCATATCTATGTATCTATCTACCTCAGTCTGTTCATATATATATATCTATCTATCTACCTCAGTCTGTTCATATCTATCTATCTATCTATCTACCTCAGTCTGTTCATATCTATCTATCTATCTACCTCAGTCTGTTCATATCTATCTATCTATCTACCTCAGTCTGTTCATATCTATCTATCTATCTATCTATCTATCTATCTATCTATCTATCTCAGTCTGTTCATATCTATCTATCTATCTATCTACCTCAGTCTGTTCATATCTATCTATCTATCTATCTACCTCAGTCTGTTCATATCTATCTATCTATCTATCTATCTATGTCTGTTCATATCTATCTATCTATCTACCTCAGTTTGTTCGTATCTATCTACCCCAGTCTGTTAATATTTATCTATCTACCCCAGTCTGTTCATATCTATCTATCTATCTATCTATAGAGAGCGTGATGAACAAAATATGGAAAAACGAAATAACTACGGGTCACGTGACGAATTTACTGATCCATTTTCGTGTATGTCTATCCAAACTCCCCGCTCTCTCTCCCCCTCTCTCTCTCTCTCTCTATATATATATATATATATATAAATATGTGTGTGTGTGTGTGTGTGATGTTTGTTCAACCTCTGTATATAATCTTGATGCCAATAAAAGTCAAGCCAAACTTAGGATTTCTCTATGATAGCATTCGGATAGAGAAAAGCTGCGTCAAAGTGGTAATCAATTTTATTATTTGGGTTTCATAACGGAAAAATTAAATAAAAGATTCAAAGGACACAGGTCTGATGTCAGTCACAACAATGTAACCCCAAGAGAGCTTGTTAAACATTTTCTTACGAAAGACTGTAATTTCAACAAGTATTTTAAGGTATCCCATTCTGAAAAAAAAAAAACATTCAGACTCTACCGACCTTTCGACCCTTAAAACGCATGAGGGTGGTTATGTAAGCAAATTGCGAACTTCCCGACCCAGGGGAATGAACAAAATGACAAGAAAGTTCCATAAGATTTATACTAATTGCTCTTAGTAACTAATAAACTAACGGAAAATTCCACGATGAACAAGATCGCCATTATATTAAGCCCGGTTGCATGCCATTCATGCTGGTTACGTTTCATTAGTTTTGTTGCGTTCATTACGAGGACAGTCGTTCTTTCAAGACAAGCAACGTCATGATAATAACTGATGACCAGCCTCAGCCCATCCCACTCCACATTTTCGGCCTTGTGCCACAATTGTATTTTATATATAATAAATCTTGACAAGCAACGTTATGATCCAAGTCGATATTCCCAACTTTTCATTTTCTTTTGGCCCTCCGTTTTCATCTCGACTGAATCAGTTTTTGAATTTTCTAATGCCCATAATTTTGTATCCTTTCTCTCCCCTTAGCGAGAAAGCCTCTTGAATTTGTTGGAAAACAGAATACAGCGGTCACTCTTATTTTTATGGAGTGGAGGGTCCCCCACATTTTTTTGATTGATATATATATATATATATATATATATATATATATATATATATATATATATATATATCCCTACTCCTACCAAAACGTAACTAATAACTGATACATCAAAAATACAGCCATAATGCACGCTCAAACACCCCTATTCTGGTTGAATGGATTTCTCTGTATCCTTGGAAACGTGAATTATGATTTTTGCTGTGTCTTTAAAACCCAGTAATTTTAAAAGTTACTCCAAAATTCGCTTGAGGATGAAATAGAACTAATGTCTTTAATTTAATTATAAAATTAAATTCGGAGCTTTTAGCTTCCATTTTTGAAACATGGTTAGAACTGTGTAGCGAAAAAAAAACATATTTTAAATCAATTAATTTATAATATTAATGCTCTGTAAATTTAGATTGAGCACTATTTTGTAAAAATAAAAATATCTATAGGAACACCGGATTATATATCTTACTGTTCTTTTTTTATATATATATGTAAAAACTACATGTAAATTTAAAACATTTTTTCACCCTTGGAAGTGCGGTCAGATGAACCAGGTAAAAATCATACACCTGGGGAAATTATAACCTATGGACCCTTAAGGTTGTTTTTTTTTTCTATTTAAATTAATATATATATATATATATATATATATATATATATATATATATATATATATACGTAGACCTGTTTAATAGGTGTAATATTGGAGGAATCGAGACTTTTATCATACAGTCTCAGTTACGGTGGACTAGTGATGTCTTGAGAATGTCTGATGACAGGATACCCAAGATCCTAATGTACAGTCAGTTAGATCAGGGCTACAGGAATGTAGGACGCCCATGGCTAAGATACAAAGACAAGCTGAAAAACAACTTGTCAGCAGTTAATATACCACATAACACCCTTGAGCGCTTAGCTTTGGAGCGGGTAGAATGGAGATCAACGTGTTTTAGTGGACTCAGCAATTTTCAATCTGCTTGTCTGAATCATCTTCAAGAAGCGAGAGCAAGATCTAAAAGGTCAACCAATCTAACAGTGATCTCATCTCACAATCCTCACACTTGCTCCATATGTGGCCTCCTTTGTAAATCACTAGCGGGTCTTAAATGCCACTTAAGATTAGCGCATAAACTTTCATGACTGAATCAATAAGCTGGCAGATCCTCATACATCGAAACCGACGGGAGAGAGTCCATTATATATATATATATATATATATATATATATATATATATATATATATATATACACAATTGTACATATTGTAATTTTTAACTCATGGCGTGTTTTTTTTTTTTTTCTGCAGTAGTTGCCAAGTGTATGTGAGGCATTTTGGTGTATGAAGGAGCAAATGGTGACGGATAATTTCTTATGGTGAATGAATAAATTGTAATGAATGAACGGGTCGTAAATCCGATTAGCTAGATATAGGATAGTTAGTATCGAATAACCTTGACCCATCTCCCCGCTTTTTTTCGGCCTTGTGCCACAATTACTGTATTAAGTCAGTAATAAATCATGGACAAACGCCATTTGTACAAAGTCTTATCATTTTTTGTAGATTTATATATTTGTATATTTGAAAAAAAGAATTTCTCAAAATATAACATGAAGAAGACAGACATTTTGTTGAAATGTTGTTTAACAGTGAGCTTTTTCTTTACTTTTACTTAAATTATTATTATCATCATCATCATTATTATTATTATTTCCTTTGATTTCTGGCGTTTACACATTTCTTTCCGGGTCCCGCCCAGGGACCTAAGGTTAGAAATGGCGTCATGACACTTTCCACTGACAAAAAAAAAAAAAAAAATTACATAGATAAAGCCCTTCGTAAAGTGTGGGCTGTACTTGTGAGAACAATTTTTTGTATCTCCTTGAGGCATGGACTTCCAGGAATCCCTTCAATTAGTCTGCTGTAATCTTTTCCAGCCAGTCCTAGGGCTCCAACTACAACAGGGATTGTTGATGTTCCCATATGCCACATTTTCGAGATTTCTATTTCAAGGTCCTTGTATTTTGACAGGTTTTTGAATATCTTCAAAGATACATTGCAGTCAGCAGGGACTGCCATATCAATAAGGAGGCACTTTTTTGTTTGTGGTCTTTAATAACAATATCTGGGTGGTTGGCTTTGGTTGTTCTGTGTATTGTGTAGTCCCATAGAATTGTAACAGGTCCTATCTCCGTAACCGGGTCTGGGTGGTGTTCATATTATTATTATTATTGTTGTTGTTGTTGCTGTTATTTCCTTTGATTTCTGTTTTATACACATTTCTTTCCGGGTCCCGCCCAGGGACCTGAGTTTAGAAATGGCTTCATGACACTTTCCACTGACAAAGGAAGTGACGTTTCACATACGGCTTGCCTACAAGCAGGATTGTTCATAACCATTTTCGATTCTTACCTGTCGAGGTGCAACTGAAATGCACCGAAACGAAGTTGCATCTTTGTAGTGAGTAAAATGGTTTTGTCTATATGATAAAATTATAATAAATAAATAATTCTCATTCTACTATCGGGTATCGAGCCCTCTTTTGGATTAATGCTGTGAACGTTGGAATTTATATATTACTTTCCTTTGTCATCGGATATATATATATATATATATATATATATATATATATATATATATATATTGGAGTTGGAGTAAGATTGGATTTTAGCAATTAAGTGTGATCTTTCTCATCAAAATTTGCTATCTGAAATGATCCTCACGAATTATTAGCTGGCCTTGCATATATTCATCCAATACTCTACTGCTGTCATATTCGAATATAAGCGTCTCTCTTCGTAGGTTATTCGTATTGGTAATCAGCTTCTTGTAACAGCTGTGAAATTGATAGAGACTTCATCGATTGATTGAATGGTTGGCCATCATATCCACCACGTCAGATACAGTTCTGTCGAAAACGTCACAGTATCCAAGTAGTGTTGACTTATCGTAACACACGCGCTTTAAATAATCATTTCACTGAATTTGGCCAAACATTTTTTCAGCTGCTTATAATTTTTTTTTTTCGAGAAAATGAAAAAGGTTTAAATGAAACAAAATACTGAGAAAGTTACAAGCCGAGAATATGTTTGTAAATGTTAGGCTTAATTCGTCACTGCCCTTTTTAAAGAATTTAACTCGATTTTGCAATGAGAATATCAATAGAACCGAAGCTGATTTTCAAAGTATGTTAACCTAGCATTATTTGTTTCTAGTCGATGCTGTTCGCGCGTGTGTGTGTGTGTGATTGGTGCACCTGAGAACTGCTGTTCAATTTCATTGTGCATTGCATATATGTGTGTGTGTGTATAATATTAGCGGTCAACACACACACGCGCACGTATATATATATATATATATATATATATATATATATATATATATATATATATATATATATATATATAAATTCCAAGAGGATAGAATCCAGGTAGAACTCAATGTCCAGGACACAGTAAGAATATACTATAAAAGTGTTTGAGCCTTTATAT